TCACAAAGTGGACTCTGTTCATTTTTAGGTATAAAATGGTCTCTGACGAAATTCTGTCTATAACTGGGCTCTGTTCAATTTTGGTCTTTACAGGTGAAATAGCCGTAAATGGATATAAAACTAAATGTTATGGCTAAGTTGTCTGTTTTCCTTAACAAAACATCTAAGACAATATTTTCTGAAAATGGTCTTTTTTACAAATTCGGTCATAAACATATAAATAAACTTCTATGATTATTTGAAACTCTGAAAATAACTGTAAGGAAATAGGAAGAGAGAGAGAGAGAGAGAGAGAGAGAGAGAGAGAGAGAGAGAGAGAGAGAGAGAGAGAGAGAGAGAGAGAGAGAGAGAGAGAGAGAGAGGGATGGTCCAGATATTATGGAGAAGATAAGATAAGATAAGAGGTAACCTACATGCGGCGTCTGGCTGACGGTCTAAAGTAAACACAGGCGGGCCACAGATTGTGAGGTAAGGGGGGGAGGGACATAATCGTATGACATTATTTTCATCATAAGAACTTTAACAAACTCGTATGACATTATTTTCATTATATAAACTTTTAACAACTTCTAAAATCTGTGACTGACAAAATTTACCTGAAAACCCTGGCTCATAAACACGAATTTGAATTTCTCCCATAAGAACTTTAACAAACTTCTAAGTCTCGGAAATTATTTTCATCATAAGAACTTTAACAACTTCTAAAATCTGTGTCTGACAAAATTTACCTGAAAAACCCTGGCTCACACGCGGGATATTGGAACCTGAAAACCATGGCTCACACGCGAGATTTTGGACCTGAAAACCATGGCTCACACTCGTCATTTTTTCCCTTGGACCTGAAAACCCTGGCTCACACAGATCATTTTTTCCCCTACCACATGCGTGACTTTGGACCTGAAAACCATGGCTCACACAGAACATTTTTTCCCCCAGAAAAAAAAATGTTCTGTGTGTTGCCATCCCCACTACTACCGTGAGTACCTCAGTGTTACTGTGAGTACCTCAGTGTTACTGTGAGTATCTCAGTGTTACCGTGAGTACCTCAGTGTTACTGTGAGTACCTCAGTGTTACCGTGAGTACCTCAGTGTTACTGTGAGTACCTCAGTGTTACGGTGAGTACCTCAGTGTTACGGTGAGTACCTCAGTGTTACTGTGAGTACCTCAGTGTTACTGTGAGTACCTCAGTGTTACTGTGAGTACCTCAGTGTTACCGTGAATACCTCAGTGTTACTGTGGTACCCCAGTGTTACCGTGAGTACCTCAGTGTTACGGTGAGTACCTCAGTGTTACGGTGAGTACCTCAGTGTTACTGTGAGTACCTCAGTGTTACTGTGAGTACCTCAGTGTTATCGTGAGTACCTCGGTGTTACTGTGAGTACCTCAGTGTTACCGTGAGTACCTCAGTGTTACGGTGAGTACCTCAGTGTTACGGTGAGTACCTCGGTGTTACTGTGAGTACCTCAGTGTTACTGTTAGTACCTCAGTGTTACTGTGAGTACCTCAGTGTTACTGTACTCACCTATTTGTACTCACCTATTTGGGCTTGCGGGGGTTGAGCTTTGGCTCTTTGGTCCCGCCTCTCAACTGTCAATCAACTGGTGTACAGATTCCTGAGCCTACTGGGCTCTATCATATCTACATTTAAAATTGTGTATGGAGTCAGCCTCCACCATATCACTGCCTAATGCATTCAATCCGTTAACTACTCTGACACTGAAAAAGTTCCTTCTAACGTCTCTGTGGCTCATGTGGGTACTCAGTTTCCACCTGTGTCCCCTTGCTCGCGTCCCACCAGTGTTGAATAGTTTATCCTTGTTTACCCGGTCGATTCCTCTGAGGATTTTGTAGGTTATGATTATGTCTCCTCTTACTCTTCTGTCTTCCAGTGTCGTAAGGTGCATTTTCCGCAGCCTTCCCTCGTAACTCATGCCTCTTAGTTCTGGGACTAGTCTAGTGGCATACCTTTGGACTTTTTCCAGCTTCGTCTTGTGCTTGACAAGGTACGGGCTCCATGCTGGGGCCGCATACTCCAGGATTGGTCTTACATATGTGGTGTACAAGATTCTGAATGATTCCTTACACAGGTTCCTGAACGCTGTTCTGATGTTAGCCAGCCTCGCATATGCCGCAGACGTTATTCTTTTTATGTGGGCTTCAGGAGACAGGTTTGGTGTGATATCAACTCCTAGATCTTTCTCTCTGATCGTTTCATTAAGTACTTCATCTCCTATTCTGTATCCTGTGTTTGGCCTCCTATTTCCACCACCTAGTTTCATTACTTTGCATTTACTCGGGTTGAACTTCATGAACTGTGAGTACCTCAGTGTTACTGTGAGTACCTCAGTGTTACGGTGAGTACCTCAGTGTTACTGTGAGTACCTCAGTGTTACTGTGAGTACCTCAGTGTTATCGTGAGTACCTCGGTGTTACTGTGAGTACCTCAGTGTTACCGTGAGTACCTCAGTGTTACGGTGAGTACCTCAGTGTTACGGTGAGTACCTCAGTGTTACTGTGAGTACCTCAGTGTTACTGTGAGTACTTCAGTGTTATTGTGAGTACCTCAATGTTACTGTGAGTACCTCAGTGTTACCGTGAGTACCTCAGTGTTACTGTGAGTAGCTCAGTGTTACCGTGAGTACCTCAGTGTTACTGTGAGTACCTCAGTGTTACTGTGAGTACCTCAGTGTTACTGTGAGTACCTCAATGTTACCGTGAGTACCTCAGTGTTACGGTGAGTACCTCAGTGTTACGGTGAGTACCTCAGTGTTACTGTGAGTACCTCAGTGTTACTGTGAGTACTTCAGTGTTACTGTGAGTACGTCATTGTTACTGTGAGTACCTCAGTGTTACTGTGAGTTCCTCAGTGTTACTGGGAGTACCTCAGTGTTACTGTGAGTACCTCAGTGTTACTTTGAATACCTCAGTGTTACTGTGAGTACCTCAGTGTTACTGTGAGTACCTCAGTGTTATGGTGAGTACCTCAGTGTTACTGTGAGCACCTCAGTGTTACGGTGAGTACCTCAGTGTTACGGTGAGTACCTCAGTGTTACGGTGAGTACCTCAGTGTTACGGTGAGTACCTCAGTGTTACTGTGAGCACCTCAGTGTTACTGTGAATACCTCAGTATTACGGTGAGTACCTCATTGTTACTGTGAGTACCTCAGTGTTACTGTGAGTACCTCAGTGTTACTGGGAGTACCTCAGTGTTACTGTGAGTACCTCAGTGTTACTTTGAATACCTCAGTGTTACTGTGAGTACCTCAGTGTTACTGTGAGTACCTCAGTGTTACGGTGAGTACCTCAGTGTTACTGTGAGCACCTCAGTGTTATGGTGAATACCTCAGTGTTACTGTGAGTACCTCAGTGTTACGGTGAGTACCTCAGTGTTACGGTGAGTACCTCAGTGTTACTGTGAGTACCTCAGTGTTACTGTGAATACCTCAGTGTTACGGTGAGTACCTCAGTGTTACTGTGAGTACCTCAGTGTTACTGTGAGTACCTCAGTGTTACTGTGAGTACCTCAGTGTTACTGTGAGTACCTCAGTGTTACTGTGAGTACCTCAGTGTTACGGTGAGTACCTCAGTGTTACTGTGAGTACCTCAGTGTTACGGTGAGTACCTCAGTGTTACTGTGAGCACCCTAGTGTTACGGTGAGTACTTCAGTGTTACGGTGAGTACCTCAGTGTTACTGTGATTTCCACACAATTGGTCACCTTCAAGTATTCTTAATCCTTTGAAAAAGCTGAAGATTTTACATCAACTAATGGGTAACATAAACTATTGAGTGACAAACTAATGGGTTAAATAAACTAATGGGTTAAATAAACTAATGGTTTACATAAACTAATGGTTTATATAAACTATTGGGTTTACATAAACTATTGGGTTTACATAACCTAATGGGTTACATAAGCTAAACTAACGGGGTTACATAAACTAATGGTTTATGTAAACTAATGGGATACATAAACTGATGGGTTTATATAAACTAATGGGTTACATAAACTAATGGGTTTCATAGACTAATGGGCTATGTAAACTAATGTGTTACATAAACTAATGGTTTACATAAACTAATGGGTTACATATACTAATGGGCTATGTAAACTAATGGGTTACATAAACTAATAGTTTACATAAACTAATAGGTTACATATACTAGTGGGTTATGTAAACTAATTTGTTTATGTAAACTAATGGGTTATATAAACTAATGGGTTTACATAAACTAATGGGTTGCATAAACTAATGTGTTACAGAATCTAATGGGTTCACATAAACTAATATGGTTATATAAACTAATGGGTTACGTAAACTAAGGGGTTTACATAAATTAATGGGTTACATAAACTAATGGGTTACATAAACTAATGGGGTACAGAAACTAATGGGTTCACATAAACTAATGGGTTTATGTAAACTAATGGGTTACATAAACTAATAGGTTTACATAAACTAATGGGTTACATAGACTAATGGGTTACAGAAACAAATGGGTTCACATAAACTAATGGGTTACATAAACTTATGGGTTTATGTAAACTAATGGGTTACATAAACTAATGGGGTTTACATAAACTAATGGGATACATAAACTAATGGGATACAGAAACAAATGGGTTCACATATACTAATGGGTTACATAAACTTAAGGGTTTATATAAACTAATGAGTTACATAAACTAATGGGTTACATAAACTAATAGGTTACATAAACTAATGGGTTCGTAAACTAATGGGTTATATAAACTAATTGGTTGTGTAAAGTAATGGGTTACATAAACTAATAGGTTACATAAACTAAAGAGTTACGTAAACTAATGGGTTACATAAGCTAATGGGTTACATAAACTAATGGGTTACATAAACTAATGGATTACATAAACTAATGGGTTATGTAAACTAATGGGTTACGTAAATTAATGGGGTATACTGTGATAAGTGGTGTATTCCTCCAGACACCGACACAATATACAAGAAAGGTTCTCATTGCAGATCTCCGGGTGTAAGGAGGTGGAGGTGCAGGCATCGGAGCTGAGGATCATTGACTGCGACGTGTACAGTCTCAAGGCCTCGGCCATCGTCACTGAGGAAGGTACTGGAGTGGAAATTAAAAAGGACGCCTCAGTCTCCATCACCCGAAACGCCGTGACCTTCAAAACTATCTACGAAGACGCTTACATGAAGCCGAACCTTCCTTACTCCCTCAAGGTTGGTAATTATAATTGTAAAAATGTGTTAGAACAAAGTTATGTTCATGTTTTATTATTCACTAAATATTGTCGATTTGGCTTGCTGTGCAACACATTTTATAGTTCATTGATTTCCATCTTCTGGGCGTTCAACACCGCCTATTGTTGCTACTGGTGGATGGACACGACAAGACTGTTGCTACTGGGGGATGGACACGACAAGACTGTTGCTACTGGGAGATGGACACGACAAGACTGATGCTATTGGGAGATGGACATGACAAGACTGTTGCTACTGGGAGATGGACACGACTAGACTGTTGGACGTGTCACCTGTGTGTGTAAATGTGATCACACACGTGTATAACAAAAAAATTCGTTTACGTCATTATTTACAGTTTTTAACCCAAAACTATTATAACCCTAAACTATTAACTCCGCCAGCAAGAATAATAGACTGACACGTTCATACTAACCAGTTAATGAAATGACTGAGCAATAGATAAATAATAGCTGTTAATATTACTTACATCAACTTAAACACAATAAATATAGATAATTAAATAATTCAGTTATCAAGTACCAAAAGAATATTAAGAAATGTTGACACAGGGATAACATTGGGATGACGAATATCAGTACGTAGTGTGAACATAGACACGACATACAGTATCACTTAATCCAGAACGACAACGTTTTAGATCAGTTTGACAGCACGTCAGTCCGGCGCTGGGTGGTGTGGCGAGCAGGACGCTTCTCTTTGCCTATCCAGTTGTTACTTGGCCGGTGTGGGGTTTGTTGACAACCCGGCATGATGTGCGGGCCTTGGTGTGGCTGCTGGCGTGACTTGAAAGTGGCCGTGTCGGCCTGCAGTATGGGGAAGCCTGTGCCACCTGTCGTCAGGCCTGGAATTTTCCAGTAATACTTCCTACCAAGCAGTAGAAGTGGTGATTTTGGACATGTTACGTGTTTCTTTGGAGGCTGTGTGTGGTGTGTAGCTGCTTGCTGGGGGACGTGCGATTGTGAAGTTTGGCTCCTCAGTGGTTTACCGTGATCTCGTCACGTGCTATGATGGGGGCACTTTCCCTCTTCTTGATAATGGTGGATCAGTGACTTTCTCTGGTCGCTGTCCTATGACGATGTATGTGGCAGTGCATGGGGCACCCTTCGAGTTCCTTGAGGACCTTCTACGTCGGTACTTTGCCCGTTTTTGGCGGGTTCTTCATGTGCGGATGAACGCCGTCCCCACCGGGAGGTAGAATCGGGTCCCGTGTGAACCCACACTCTCACCATGCGCCTTAGGGATCATATACTGTCCTCCATCATGCTGTTGCGCTTCCCTCTTTGTTTGTTTCATACGGGCCAGCTCCAGATGTGTTTCAAGTGTGACCTACAGGGCCACCAGGCTGCAGGGTGTGAGGTCCACCGGGGTCACCCCTATTAACCTCTTCTGGGAGGAGGATTCTCCCCCGTTGTCGACCTCGGACCCGTCAATGGGTGCTGGGATTTGTGTGTTGATTCCCTACTGTCTGCTGCCCCGGTGTCGGATCCTGCTGCTCGTCTTGGTGCAGATGTAGGTGTTGACGTGGAGGTTAGTGTGGCCCCGCCACGACCATCCCTGCCCCAGCTGCCTCACCCCGCCCCGTCTCAGCCGCATCTGCCTACTATGTTCCAGGATACGGTGTCTCCTGTCGCTCTGGCTGTCCGCGAGGGGTTGTCTCCTGCAGTGTGTGGTCCGGTGGCCCCGGTTGTTAAAGCTGTGGTTCTCGGGGGTCGTTCTTTACAAGCACACCTGCCGGAGAGTTCTGTTGTGGTGCAGGAAGATGGGAGTGATAACTCGAACGACCGGCGGCCTGTCTCGATATAATCGAAGCGGGTTCAGAGTGTGTCTCCCCATCGTGGTGAGCCTTGGGAGGAGGTGGAGAAGTATGGTGCTCCGGCGTCCCCCGCCGTCGGTGACGGGGCTGTGAGGGGCTCCGAGTTGCTTCCTGTGCCCACACCTCCTGTGTCTATTGCTATTGGATCCCCGCAGTGCGAAGTTTTCCCTGATGATCAGGATCTTGTCATGGTGCTGAGAAGGGATGTGCGCCAAGGGTCCTCGGCTCCTGTGCCCGGTGGCGGGGACGATGCCGTGCCTGCGTCCCCTGTGGTTCCCCCGGTCAGGGGCGGGAGCCTTGTCCCGGCTGCCGGGTACGTGATCCGTGAGGGACAGGTGTTGCGACTTTCTCGGGATGTCTGGTGCCTTCTTTTGATAATTACTTACTTACTTCGGGTTCAATTCATAGTGAACATAACACAACACTCCCTAGGAACTTGCTAGTTGACAATACAAAAATCCTGGAGTCGACCACTGACCTAAGACGACTACAAATCCTGGCAGCTATACTAAAATGAGAGAAAAAATCACTTATAAATATATTGAATAACTACTTCGCTTCCCTGGCAACACTTAGATGCAGAACTCACCTACATCACGGGGTAACTACCACATCTCTACCGGATTCTTACCGCCCACAGAGAGTACTAGTCCTATGCAACGCCTTACCCAATATATGATTGCCCCTTTTCCCTTACTCTTACCTTATTTCCCTATTCCTTACCCTACGTTTCATTGCCCCCATACACCTCTGACGCCACTGTTGCAGGCGGCAACAGTGGCGTCGAAGGAGATTACCTAAGGCTTCAATTCATCCCCTTACACATGTGTATTTAATCCGAAATTGCTCCTTGTTTATTAATTCCTTAAGATTGCTCTCCTTGGCACTGACGAAGAGAAAATAAGTTAGAAGCATAAAAAAACTAGCACTTTAAGATTAACAACGCCAGCATTGCGGTCATATTTAACCAAATATGCTTAAAGTAACGCCTGCTGCCCAAATATACAAACATTATCACATATTTGTGTACAATTATATGTGATCTTTAACCAGAGTCTTCCTCTTACTAACATAGCTGATAGGAAACAGCTGAGGTAAGGTCCCAGCAAACAAATTTAGGTTGCCACAACATATCTGGAAAGTATTTGAAAGGATTGGAAACGTTTGTTTTATCGTATCAGATACGGATTAGTGTGTGGACTTAAATAGGTTTCCAAAACTTATAACCAAAACCTACGTATCTAACACTAATTTGAGATGTTGTGGCAACTTTACAATCCTAACACGAGTCATTCATAATCCATTCATATACCAATATGAATCTCTTGTGAAAGGTTTGAGCCTATAATCTGAACCCTTTTCACATCTTTGTGTCTAAAGTTAAATTTCTTGAAATTAAATTATATTATTTTATATTATATTATTTTTATTATATTTTATTTTATATTATATTATTATTTTCAATTTAAATATTAAAACCAATTTAAGGGTAAAAAAAATTTAATAATTTATATTTCTTTTATTATTTACTAACAATTATAATTATTTACTAACGGAGAGAAGGGAGGCTGTACGGTGGACAGTGGCGGCTGTGGCGGACAGTGGCGGCGGTGGCGGATAGTAGCGGCGGGCGGACAGTGGCGGCGGGCGGACAGTGGTGGCGGGCGGACAGTGGCGGCTGTGGCGGCGGTGGTTGACAGTGGCGGCGGTGGCGGATAGTGGCGGCGGGCGGACAGTGGCGGCTGTGGCGGCGGTGGTGGCGGTGGTGGACAGTGGCGGCGGGCGGACAGTGGCGGCGGTGGTGGACAGTGGCGCGGGCGGACAGTGGCGGCGGGCGGACAGTGGTGGCGGTGGCGGATAGTGGCGGCGGGCGGACAGTGGCGGCTGTGGCGGCGGTGGACAGTGGCGCGGGCGGACAGTGGTGGCGGGCGGACAGTGGCGGCGGTGGCGGACAGTGGCGGCGGTGGCGGATAGTGGCGGCGGGCGGACAGTGGTGGCGGGCGGACAGTGGCGGCGGTGGCGGATAGTGGCGGCGGGCGGACAGTGGCGGCTGTGGTGGTGGTGGACAGTGGCGGCGGGCGGACAGTGGCGGCGGTGGTGGACAGTGGCGTGGGCGGACAGTGGCGGCGGTGGTGGACAGTGGCGGCGGGCGGACAGTGGTGGCGGTGGCGGATAGTGGCGGCGGGCGGACAGTGGCGGCTGTGGCGGACAGTGGCGGCGGTGGTGGACAGTGGCGGCATGCGGACAGTGGCGGCATGCGGACAGTGGCGGCTGTGGCGGACAGTGGCGGCGGTGGCGGACAGTGGCGGCATGCGGACAGTGGCGGCATGCGGACAGTGGCGGCGGGTGGACAGTGGCGGCGGCGGGCGGACAGTGGTGGCGGTGGCGGACAGTGGTGGCGGTGGCGGACAGTGGTGGCGGTGGCGGACAGTGGTGGCGGTGGCGGACAGTGGTGGCGGTGGCGGACAGTGGTGGCGGTGGCGGACAGTGGCGGCTGTGGCGGACAGTGGCGGCGGTGGTGGACAGTGGCGGCGGTGGTGGACAGTGGCGGCATGCGGACAGTGGCGGCATGCGGACAGTGGCGGCGGTGGTGGACAGTGGCGGCATGCGGACAGTGGCGGCATGCGGACAGTGGCGGCTGTGGCGGACAGTGGCGGCGGTGGCGGACAGTGGCGGCATGCGGACAGTGGCGGCGTGCGGACAGTGGCGGCGGGCGGACAGTGGCGGCGGCGGGCGGACAGTGGTTGCGGTGGCGGACAGTGGTGGCGGTGGCGGACAGTGGTGGCGGTGGCGGACAGTGGTGGCGGTGGCGGACAGTGGCGGCGGTGGCGGACAGTGGCGGCGGTGGCGGACAGTGGCGGCGGTGGCGGACAGTGGCGGCGGGCGGACAGTGGCGGCGGTGGCGGATAGTGGTGGCGGTGGCGAACAGTGGCGGCGGTGGCGGACAGTGGCGGCGGTGGCGGACAGTGGCGGCGGGCGGACAGTGGCGGCGGTGGCGGATAGTGGCGGCGGTGGCGGATAGTGGCGGCGGGCGGACAGTGGCGGCTGTGGCGGACATTGGCGGCGGTGGCGGCGGGCGGACAGTGGCGGCTGTGGCGGACAGTGGCGGCGGTGGTGGACAGTGGCGGCATGCGGACAGTGGCGGCGGGCGGACAGTGGCGGTGGCGGGCGGACAGTGGTGGCGGTGGCGGACAGTGGTGGCGGTGGCGGACAGTGGTGGCGGTGGTGGACAGTGGTGGCGGTGGCGGACAGTGGCGGTGGTGGTGGACAGTGGTGGCGGTGGCGGACAGTGGTGGCGGTGGCGGACAGTGGTGGCGGTGGTGGACAGTGGTGGCGGTGGCGGACAGTGCTGGCGGTGGCGGATAGTGGCAGCGGGCGGACAGTGGCGGCTGTGGCGGACAGTGGCGGCGGTGGCGGAGAGTGGCGGTGGGCGGACAGTGGCGGCTGTGGCGACAGTGGCGGCTGTGGCGGACAGTGGCGGCGGGCGGACAGTGGCGGCGGCGGGCGGACAGTGGTGGCGGTGGCAGACAGTGGTGGCGGTGGCGGACAGTGGTGGTGGTGGCGGACAGTGGTGGCGGTGGCGGACAGTGGTGGCGGTGGCGGACAGTGGTGGCGGGCGGACAGACGCGGCGGTGGCGGACAGTGGCGGCGGTGGCGGGCGGTAGTGGCGGGCAGTAGTGGTGGGCGGTGGCGGGCGGCGGCGGCTGTGATGGGTGGTGGCGATCGGCGGTGGTGGGGGCTGGTGGCGGCTGGCGGTGGCGGCTTGCGGTGGCGACTGTGGCAACGGGCGGTGACGGCTGATAGCGGGCGGTGGTGGCGGCTGGTGGCAGGTGGTGGCGGTGGTGGCGGCTGGTGGTGGCGGCTGGTGGCGGGCGGTGGCAGCTGGTGGCGGTGGTGGCGGCTAGTGGTGACGGCTGGTGGCAGTGGCAGCTGATGGCGGCTGGTGGTGGCGGTGATGGCGGCTGGTGGTGGTGGGTGGCGGCTGGCGGTGGCGACTGTGGCAACGGGCGGTGGTGGCTGGTGGCGGGCAGTGGTGGCGGCTGGTGGTGGTGGCAGCTGGTGGCGGGCGGTGGCGGCTGGTGGCGGTGGCAGCTGATGGTGGCTGGTGGTGGCGGTGATGGCGGCTGGTGGTGGTGGTGGCGGTGATGGCGGCTGGTGGCGGGCGGTGGCGGCTGGTGGCGGTGGCAGCTGATGGTGCCCGGTGGTGGCGGGTGGCGGCTGGTGGTGGCGGTGGTGGGTGGTGGCGGCTGGTGGTTGGTGGTGGCGGTGGTGGGTGGCGGCTGGTGGTGGTGGGTAGTGGCGGCGGATGGCGGCGGGTGGCGGCTGGTGGCGGCCAGCTGGGACACACCCTTCACCACTGAAGGTCTGAGCACAACTAACTATATGTCTCTCTCACCACCAGCCCAGTGTTGGCAGCTGGCGCTCTCAAAACGTTTCCTTTAAAGATTGTATATTATCTTTGAACAACAAGTTTGATTATCAAGGAAATAATGCATATATTATTGTCACATTAATACTGTGCAATATCTTATTACATTCCTGCTAAATAATTATAATTTGAAACAGGACAAAAAATCCAACATATATATAAAAACCAACATTAGAGATCATGAGGCCTAGGCCTAGGCCTATCTGTGACCACACATCCTGCTTCCCTGGCCAGTTACCCTCTCACACCTCACACTCTTAACTCTCTCATAATCACTCTCACTCTCAATCACTCTTACGCACTATTACTCACTCTTACTCTCAATCACTCTTACGCACTATTACTCACTCTTACTCTCAGTCATCCTTACTCACTCTCATACTCACTCTTACTCTCATACTCACTCTTACTCTCTGTCACTCTTACTCTCTGTCACTCTTACTCTCTGTCACTCTTACTCTCTGTCACTCTTACTCTGTCACTCTTACTCTGTCACTCTTACTCTCTGTCACTCTTACTAAGTTAGGTTAAGCAGGATAAGTTAGGTTAGGTTAGGTAAGTTAGGTATGATAGGTAAGGTAAGGTAAGTTATGTTAGGATAGGTAAAGTTAGGTAAGATAGGTAAGGTAAGGTAAGTTATGTTAGGATAGGTAAAGTTAGGTAAGATAGGTAAGGTAAGGTAAGTTATGTTAGGATAGGTAAAGTTAGGTTAAGTTAGGTAAGATAAGTAAAGTTAGGTAAGTTAAGTTAGGATAGGTAAAGTTAGGTAAGATAGGTAAGGTAAGGTAAGTTATGTTAGGATAGGTAAAGTTAGGTTATGCAGGTTAAGTTAGGTAAGTAACATTGGGGTGGAGAGGATAGGTTACGTAGGTTTGAACAGTGTA